AGGACGCTGAATGGTTAAGAGAGACCCAAGAGATAAAATAATTCAGATGGTTTTAGAACCATTAAGAGACATTTTTTTTTTTCGAAACAAGATTTATCTCTTAATATTAAGAGACAAACAAACAACCCTTAAGAGGTGAAACCAACCAATAAAAACATATATTATTTTAATTAATTTTCCTAAATAGAAAGGTTGGATTTATTGTAATGATTGTGACATGTTTATGCTCGATATTTAATGATAAATTGATTGGAAAAAATAAGTTATATGAAAAGTTCAATACTTTAACTTAAACTAATTTTTAAAGCTATTAAAAAATTTAAAAATAATGTTTAACATTTTATGAAACCAAGATTGTGAAGTTGTCAAAGACCTTCCAGTCTAGTGGTAAAGGCTTGGGCATCACATAGTCATGAACCCGAGTTCGAGTCCTGGGAGGGGAGGAGTATTGGCGACATTTAAGTGGTGCCATGTTTAGCCTCCAAAATTGCCGGGGATTAGTCGGACTTTGGCCCGGACACCCTTAAAAAAAAAAAAAAAAGATTGTGAAGTTACTTTACAAAAGTTCGGTTTTAGTCCTCAATGTTTGTTTTTTCATTGGTTTTGGTCCCTCAATTTTATTTATGAACTTTGTCAATTTTCAATGGATTTTATCTTTCGTTTAATGAATCTTAATTTTTTTTAATTAAATTAGGGCATTTGATCAATTTTTACTTTTCCTTTTTTCTAATTAAATAAACAGAATTATATAAATATTTTTTTTAGTTTTCAATAAAATAAAATAAAAAAGTAAAGTGACCAAATTATCTCTCATGTAACTAGATTTAACAGGAAAAAGAAATTAACGATCATTACATGGAGGGACAAAATGTTTTGAAAATTGACAGATGTCGGTGACAAAAACCGACTAAATGAAGTTAGAGTGACAAAAACGATTAAAATGGACAAACTCAATATGAACTTCACTCTTTTTTAAGTGTAAATTGCGAATCATAAGGGTGGTGACTGATTGGTTTGAGCTTGGGTTTCAAAGATCAAAAGTGTCTGGAGGTCCTAGGTTCAAATCCAAAGAAAAATAAAAATCTCCTTGTGGCCACGGAGGTTTAAATGCGGTGACCTCAGGTTACCTGCAAAAAAGGTGGTCACCCTGGGATTAGTCGGCTTGCATAGCGGGTTAGATATTCAGGTTAATAAAAAAGTGTAATTTTTGCGTAGTTTTATCCGTCAAACGAGGAACATTTCGATTTTATCTCGTTTTTCTTATAATTTTTTTATAAAAAATAAAAAAAGCTATACAATATATTAATTACAATATAGTAAAATATATTTATGGTCCCTGTGGTTTGCTGAAATTTTGGATTTGGTTCCTAATAAAAACTATTTATACTGATGGTCCCTAATTTTTCAATTTCATAACACTCGATGTTCTTTTAGTATTTAACCAAAGTACAAGGACTAAAAATGTAATTAACTCGAGAATTAATTGTGATTGATGACAATATTCGGGCATCAAAATCCATTTCTAGATCTTTGTTTTCTCCTTCGAACAATACAAGGATTTATTGATGGTTTGGTACTTTTTGTAATTAAATCACGAGCTTATGTTTTCACATGTCCCACCATTTTGATGAATGAGGTGGTTGAAGCTTTTTTACCTTTCAAAAACTATTATATTCAACATTTTTTATAAAATCTGTTTTATTACAGATTTAATTTCTCTCTGTCAGTTATTTTCGCAGTAATTTAATTCCCTATGTGTTGAGAAGGTAAAATGGTCCATCGAGTTTGTGGAGGAGGGGAGAGAGAAAGATGCGAGAAGTGGACAAGATGATTAATTAGGACCTGGTGTCGGAGAAAATGACTGCATAAGTGGGAGAGGAGAGAGGTGACTGCTAAAGACGACTAATGAGGGGATGTCATTTCTCTCTCTCACTCTCTCTCTCTCTATGCATATGTAATATGAGGTCTAATCAAATGAGAACTAATTAGTTTGTGGTAACCGTGAGATCCAATATGAACCAATCATTTTGTGATATTAATTGTATTACCTTAATTAATAGGTAAAAAGCGTTTTAGTAAAATGATTAATTATAATTTAAATATTTTTCTTATTTAATAGTTATTAGTTATCAAATTTGGGTTTCCTTAATTATCAAGAATTCGGTTTCCTTAATTATCTCAACAAAATTGTATCACAGTCGTGTATTACATTGTAGTTGTGTGTGACCTAAAACTCAGATCACATCTGTTGTCAATCCATGTTCAAAACGTTATCACAATGGTATCACAATTGATTTTGTGTCTTACTGTTATAAATTATTGGGTATCACAGCGTGTATCATATTTGTTTTGTGTTTTATTGTTAGAAATTATTGGCTGGAGAGAGAGAGGGGCAGAGAGGAGAGAGATTTAAAGACTAATTTACCCTATATATTATCAGTAAATTTAAGTTACTTGAAAATTAATAAATAATTACCAAAATTAATATGTTTAATAATAACCATTGATTATTAATAATATGTGGTTGAGATTAGCTCTCACAGTTATCACAAACAATCAAGTTTTCATTTGATTGGAGCCCTATGTAATATATTATAGATATTCATATTATGGTGTTTAATCATTTAAAAACTTTAAAATTTATATGATCAGTACAATTAAACCTAAACCGATAATTTAAGATTATTATTATTATTATTATTAATTAATGTTATTTATTTAAATAAACATTAATGGTTTTTTTATGAAATTCAAATTCCATTGCTATCTATGCACATACAGACAACTAATGTGCATACAAGATGAACACAATGTAAACAACCTTAAGACATTTATTACCAGAAGTGTCCGTATGGTGTTCATAAGTCGTATATTTAGATTTGATTTGTTATCAGACACACAATTTCAAATAATTTAAATTTAAAATGAGGTGTTTATCTTGTATTTGATTATGATTATCGATTAGTCATATGAATTCCAATATAAAATGTGTTTATTATGTATTTGTCTATGTATATCAGTTAGTTATTTGAGTTAAGATATGAAGCTTTAAAAAGTTGTACCCATACATCAACATGTAATCTTGAATTTTAAACGATGTGCATTGATTTCAAGGAAATCAAAACAACTGATCATTATTTCATTCGTGCTTGACGATTTCCAATGTGTGGGCAAAAGTGTTTAGATGGTGCCACTTGGCTCCTTTTTATGTCGGCTCTATCGTATATATTATCTTCATGGAAAATTTTCCTTCTTTTTCTAGCTTTTCAAAAAGCTTACGAAGAAAATGAGCAATTCTAGGGATTTCCGTGTACGTAATTAGGGTTATCGTAACAAAGTAGTGTTCTCCGATTGGCGATCGGCTACCTTTTCAAACTAATTTAGCTTTCGATATTCAACTTCTTTCCTAACGCTAGTTAGCAAATCGTGCTAAAAACTTTAGTATTCCTCAGACATATCGGTGTTGCAGGCCTCTCGATTGCTTTGAAAGTTAGTTGGTCTCTAATTCTAGGTTGTTTACTTACTGTTATGAGTCAACACTATAATTAATTTTATTGGGTAAGGTTGTAGTACATCAAAATGTATTCCATGCAACAAATTACCTGGTAAGCGCTTACCCGGGTAAGAGTCGTCACCCTCACTTACCGGATAAGACTCCCCATCCTTATCCTCGTTCTTACCGGTAAGATTCTTGGCCCTTGTCATGTTCACCCGGTGAGAACCCGGTAAGTACTTACCAGATAAGCGTTTAGTAAACGGCCCTTTAGTCTTTGTTTTGGTTTTTTTGCTATATCTTTCTTTCGGCTCGTTGACTTGTGTTTAGACGTTGTCTCCTTTCTTTTTTTTTGTTTCTACTATGTTATTGTCTCTCATGTTCTTCTTTCCTCTCTAAAATTGATGGTCTTTAAAAAAATAGTATGTATTAATCAACTATACTTAATTTATACTGTATTATAAAGATTTTGCAAAAAAAAACCTTAGAAATCATTTTTAATGCATAAAGTACTGTTTATGGTGTGTTGTCCTCATTCAGCCACAAAATGACACCCCTATCTCTTATTTAAAGCACAATCTCCTTCTCATATGAGACACCCCATCGTCGGCCTCTTTATGATTTTTTGTTTTGATGTTCAAGTAATTAATATTGAGAGGTAAATCGGCCATTTACGTTATTCAAACTGTTGGTTCAAATAAAAAAATAAACAACAACACTCATTTATCCAGACAGACAAATTTATCCATACATGACTTAATAAAAAAATTTGGTAAACAACCCCTTGATTATGTTTATCTATAGTTAGTTATACAAATTCAAAAATGAAGCTTTAATAAGTTATACATACGCACAATTTACTTGTAATCTTGAATTTTAAGTAATATACATTAATAAACAATACTTTATGCATAAAAAATAATTTGTAAGAGTTTTTATCAAATGCTTTATAATATACTAGAAGGGTACTCGCGCAATGCAGCGAGATACATCTTGATTTTTATATTTTATTTTATTTTTTAAATCTCAGTCGATGTTATAATATGGTTTTACGTGATTTCAAAAAAACGATGATATTTTATTTTTGAATAAAATATAAATTTGAATATATCATAAAAAAATTGACAAAATTATACAATACTTTATACATAAAAAATGATTTTTAAGTGTTTTTATCAAATACTTTATAATACATTACAGATAACAAATCATTAAATTATGTAGTGAATCAGAATCTTCAATTTATAATTAAACCATTATTAATTAATCATAACTTCAGAAGCACATGATATATATCTATTATATTTATATATTGACTAGTTGACCACTGTTGGTTGGCGTTGTGGGTGAGTGTGAGAGGATATGGGCTGGCCGAATTAAGACAAGTCCACACTCTATATAAAGTATAAACTACTCAACATTCATCTTAACCTACCACAATTTAAGTAGCTCATGCCTTTTAATAATTAAACACCCTCCTCCGCCCTTCCACCACCGCACCGCCGCCATGGCTGACCGGAAACCCGAACAAAACAGTGGTTTCGACAAACCCAACAAGCTTGCCATAACCGAGTTTGATCCACCAAAGCCACCGAAGAGAAACAAGTATGCTTTTGCTTGTGCCATGTTAGCTTCCATGACTTCCGTCTTGCTTGGTTACGGTAATATACTTTTCCATCTTTATTTTTGTGCTCGTTTTTTCGAATTATAAGATCTTTTAAAACCCGACAGATTTCACTTGAAATTTAGTGTGATTTCAAATTCATGCATCGTGTTTTCAGCTCATAACGATAAAATATTTGTAAATTAAAGTTCTGAATACGAAACGGAAGTTGCAACGTACGGAAATTTACGTGTTGCGATACGTCTTTCCACAAACAGCACTGTCTACGTAAAATAAATCTTACTTTTTTATTTATATAAAAATGTTTATATTTCAGCTTCAAATAATTGACAACTCGTAAAAAATCAAGATGTTATAAACTCTACTAACTAATCTTAACCGTCCGTCTGCATAATCAATGACGTAGAATGAACCAGTTTCTAAAATTACTCTCAATCATATCTATAACTGATTGGATAAACGCCTCTAAATTTCAAAATACATAAAACCAATGGCCAATACAATCCCATATATATACATAATATATATATACTTGAAATCATGTGAGACAAAGCTATTTTCGTGAGATACGATTTTTACACTTGAAACTTCACAGCAAAACACTGTGAAAGTAACCTTTAGAGTGTTTTTGCTATGAAACTTCGGGTTTTTTTTACCTTCACAATATTATGTCTCACGAAAACAATATTGTCTCACGTGAAACCAACCATATATATATATATATATATATATATAATTGGCATTGAAATATACGTTGGTATTAATTTATTTATGTTAGACGGACAATAATACAAATCGTGAAAAATACAATAATTTTGTGGCAGACATTGGTGTGATGAGTGGGGTGCAAATCTACATCAAGAGGGATCTGGATTGTAGCGATACTCAAATCGAGATCCTCGTCGGTATTCTGAACCTCTACTCCTTGGTCGGCTCTGCCGCCGCCGGAAAAACTTCCGACTGGATTGGTCGTCGGTACACCATCGTCTTTGCCGGAGCTATCTTCTTCGTCGGAGCAATCTTGATGGGATTCGCTACTAACTATGCGTTTCTCATGGTCGGTCGGTTTGTCGCCGGTATCGGCGTTGGATACGCCCTTATGATAGCGCCGGTTTATACTGCCGAGGTTTCACCGGCGTCTGCACGTGGCTTTCTCACGTCCTTCCCTGAAGTCTTCATTAATGCTGGTAAGAAGCTTTATCTTTGCTATATTATAATATTTTTATTATTTACGATTATATTATTATATGTTATATATACTGTAAAAAAATATTTTTATTATTTATGATTTATACTTTTATAGTTATTTATTTATATATATACTATATATTTTGGGGTTAGTTTGTTCAAATTGCACTGTATAATATGTTCTGAATTAATATGTTCTTGAGTTTTTTTGAAATATATATATATATATATATATATACATGTATTAATTCAACCTTAACCTGAGTTTCTGGACAAGAAATAGGGTAAGCGGTTGAAATTTCATTCCAAAACCCATCTTTTTTGGTCTTTTCATGGCTTATGATCTGTCAAATTTGTAGTTTTCTTTATTGATTTTGAATGTTTATCTTAAAACTCAAGTTTCTTGGTTCTTTGCTCTTGGTGTAAATCGAATACATTTGTGGAGTCGTTTAAATATGTTGGATTTTAAATATATTGGATTTTAAATATATTGGATTTTAAACTGTCATACAATTTTTTTCATCGATAGTCTGTAATTGGAACTATAACTCTTATTTATTCAAATTGTATTAATATGTAAAGACCAAGTGTAACATATATCATCGTTAAATTTTATCTTATAAAACAAGTGGAACTTCAAAATCGTTAAAATTCATGGCTCCCGTCGCATTGTGCGGGTACACAACTAGTATATATATAATACTGTTTAGTGATGTATATTATAAAATTTAAAATATAATTAAGATAATTATTGAGTTCTAACAAAATATTTAGTTATTATTTTTATAAAAAATATATTATTAAACCAAAAATAAATTATTTTATTGTTAAATCTACATTAAATTATAATAAAATTTTAAATTAAAAAAATTACAAAGAAAAATGAAAACTTTTTAATTTTTTTAATTTTATGATATCTTTAAATTTGTATTTTGTTAAAAAAATATTAGTGCTTGCTTAAAATCATATAAAACCTTATTATAAATCAACAGAGATCAAAAAATTAAAATCAAACTATAAAACTGAGATATATCTCGCTACATTGTATAATATCATTTATAATTAATATTTAAATAAAGCATTGTGCCAACATTGTCCTTTTAGGAGTTATTTATGAATAAATAAATTTTTATTTTTATATTATAAAAAAATATTAAATTATGTTTTTTTGTTTAAATATTTTCAATATATTAAGGTTACAGCTAATAAAACAATAAATTTGGGTTTAAAAAACTTATAAAATCTGTAACAGCGACGGATCCATAAATTCATTCAGACGCATCTAAACGATCCTGAAACTAAATAATCCGTCCATACCAAAATGGTATCGGGTTATTCAGTTTTTAAGATTCATGTTTCCGGTACTAAATTTATTGACGTGGATCTCCCCCGGGTACCCTAAAGGTGATGCATGTGAGACCCATCAAATTGATTTTTTAATATATTTTTTGTACTTTTTTTGGTCGAAGAAAGGGGGATCGCCCCTCGTGGTTAACCCTCGCCCCCCGGGGGCGATCCGTGTGGGCATTTTTGCAATTTTGGTAAAATCTGGTTATTTCGTTAATATCTCAGGTATATTTTGGTCATTTTGGTGAATTTCCCATTTATCAATTGTATGTGTATGTTTTCTGTAGGAATATTGCTCGGGTATGTATCGAATTTTGCGTTCTCGAAGCTTCCACTTCACTTGGGATGGCGATTAATGTTAGGAATCGGAGCCGTCCCTTCGATATTCCTGGCTTTGGGTGTACTAGGCATGCCCGAGTCGCCTCGTTGGCTCGTCACACAAGGTCGACTCGGGGATGCCAAAATCGTACTGGATAAGACCTCTGATTCCTTGGAAGAGTCCAAACTTCGACTAGCGGACATCAAGGAAGCCGCGGGCATACCTGAAGATTGCAACGACGACGTCGTCCAAGTACCAAAGCGCAACCACGGTGAAGGGATATGGAGGGAATTGCTCGTCCATCCCACGCCCACCGTCCGCCACATCTTGATCGCGGCTGTCGGGATCCATTTCTTCCAACAAGCAAGTGGAATAGACGCCGTTGTGTTATACAGTCCGAAAATCTTCGAGAAGGCAGGGATCGTCAAGGACACACCAAAACTACTCGCGACCATAGCCGTCGGATTCGTGAAGACCATATTCATCCTAGTCGCAACGTTTTTCCTCGACAAGGTCGGACGCCGGCCGCTCTTGTTATCAAGTGTGGCCGGCATGATCGTATCTCTAATGGGACTCGGCGTCGGACTAACCGTCGTCGACCATTACGACCACAAAATAAGCTGGGCCATCGCGTTCAGTATCGCGATGACCCTGTCGTATGTGGCGTTCTTTTCGATCGGGATGGGCCCGATCACGTGGGTGTACAGCTCGGAGATATTCCCGTTGAGGCTGCGGGCCCAAGGGTGTAGCATGGGGGTGGCGATGAACAGGGTGGTGAGTGGGGTGATATCGATGTCATTCTTGTCCCTGTCGAAAGGGATAACGTTTGGTGGCGCCTTCTTTCTGTTTACAGGGATTGCAATGGTGGCCTTCGTCTTCTTCTTTACGCTGTTCCCTGAAACACAGGGTAGAAACCTTGAAGAAGTGGAGCAGTTGTTTGGGACGTTTTTTAGGTGGAGGACAACGTCTGCGGAATTGAAAAGGAAAAAGGAGCTTCAGATGGAAAACAGTAATAAAGCCCAAACATAAGTATTAGGGTTTGGATATATATATACATTGCAACCCATCACATTTATACAACCAATGTAATCCGATCAATTTGAGATGTTTATGGAAACAATCAAAACTTCTATGGAATCATATATTCGTCAAGTTAAATGAAGGGTTGAGATTGAGTTGTATTGGTTGTACAAATGTAAAAGGTTACATAATAACTTAACGATATCTATATATGTATGTATGTGTGTGTGAGATCATTGGAGGATATTTCTGTCAATTCAGTTTAGAGAAAATTTACAAGAAGATATATGGTATGAAACCAGAATGGTTTATGTTTTTGTGTGTTTTTTAATCATAATGAGGTATGTTTGATAATTTGTTGGAATCCAATTAAGGGTTTGTCAAAGAATTGGTATAATGCATATAATTTACCAAAAAGAGGTTTTATTTGATATTATATGAATAACAAACCTTAAATTATAAAAGTTTAGACATATATAGGGTTGGGTTTACGTGAGAACAACGATGTAACACCAATTTATGTTCATTGATCAATTTTATAAGCTAATGATCTAATGATTTAAAGTTGTATGGTGACAATTTTGTGATTATTGAGAAGTCTCGTGGTAATTTTGTGAATATGAATGTTCAGATTGTAGATCTAATTCAAGGGATGAGAATTGGTCTTACGAGTCTCACGAAAAACCCTTGGTCTTGCACGATCTCAAGTCTATACACACACACACATATATATATATATATATATATGTATCTTATATTTTAATTATTGTTTTGTATAACCTTAAACACGTATGATTTCTTTTTCTCACCCCCATGTCCAAGGAAGATTCAGTTAGGGGTGTAGATGAGTTGGGTTGGACGGTTTACGATATTTATATAATTCAACCTAATTGTGATAATTTTGAAAATTTTCAACCCAACTCGTTTAAAAGTATAACCCAACCCAATTCAATGTTTATGGGTTGAGATGGGTTGGGTTGGTTTAGGTTGGGGGTTTAATAGTTATTGATGAATGAAATACTTTATAGGATTTACGTTTTTCGATGAATCATTGATTCAGATTCAATACTTTTAAATTACGATTAACATATTTCAGTTACTCTAATAAACCCGCTTAAAGGTGTACAATAATCGGTCATGACCAAAATAATGAGTTCAGGGGTGTAGTAAAATTCAACACTTACCCGGTAAGTATTTACCGGTGAAATTCAACATTATCACTTACTTAACGGGTAAAATTTTATTCACCAAAACGCATCGTATGCAACAATTTATCCCGGTAAGCATTAACCATGGTAAGAGTCCTCGTGCTCACTTACCGGGTAAGACTTTCGATTCTTGCCTTCGGTCTTACCGGGTAAGATTTTTGGTCATTGCCATATTTATTCGGTAAAGTAAAGTGACTTGGTAAGCATTTGGTAAACGGCACCTAGTTTGGAGCGAATAATTCTCTTATTTTATTTTTAGTTTTGGAGATTCTTTTGAAGTAAGAAAAATTTCAAAAGCTTCAATCTTTTTATATTAGAGATTTCGTTGGAGATGATTGAAAATTTTAGTTACGTAATTATTATTATACAGAAGTTCTTTTAGCATATTTATTAAATGTTTAATACAATTTTTTTTACAAAATAGTTTATATTTAATAAAACTTAATTTATATTTAATATTTTTAAAAGAAACAACTATTATTTTATTTTTATTATAATAAAAAAATTATACCAGTTATTATGGACAAGTTCTTATCAGTTAAAATATGTTACTTCTCTACTCATAATTTCTTTTTTATAATCAATCATTTGATACAACTTATCGATACTTTTTATGTATATCATATTCAGTTTATTTTCTCAATTTACATATATATGTTCACAATTACTGAACATATATACGAATGAGTTATATAAATATGCGAATAGATTGAAAATATGTGTATATAAAGAGCATATATGATAATATCATTGTCTAATGTACATATGAATAGAAATTCAACAATCATATTAAATCCAAGAAATAAAACGACATCGGGTTCATCGGGTTGGGTTGGGCTCAAATAATAGTAACCGGATATCAACCCAATACCTACGGTTTGACAATTTTACAACTCGATTAGACATCGGGTTGCTTCGAGTTGAGTTATTTTGTGTTGGGTTGGGTTGGGTTGATCGGATTTTTGAGCACCCTTATTGTCAGTACATGTACAAGTTATAACCAGTGGATGCCCCATCTTTAGCCGATCCGCGTAGCCAAAAAGAGCCGACCCTTCGAAGGGCTGATTCGGTTGTTCCAAAAGTAGGATCCAATCTACTAAGGCTTGGTTGCAAGACAGTTCTATCAAATTTAAAATGAGATCAACTCAACCCAACCTAACGCGAAATAACTCAACCCGAAGCAACCCGATGTCTAATCGAGTTGTAAATTTTTCAAACCGTAGGTATTGGGTTGATATTGGTTTACTATTACTTGAACCCACCCAACCCAACCCGACGAACCCGATATCTATTTATTTTATTGGATTTAATATGATTGTTGAATTTCTATTAATATCTACAGTAGACAATTACACTATCACGTACGCTATTCATATACACATCTTTTCAATCTATTCACATCTCTATATAACTCATTCGTATATATGTTCAGTAACTGTAAACATATATACGTAAATTGAGAAAATTAATTGAATATGATATACGTAAAAAGTATGGATAAATTGTATCAAATAGTTGATGATGAAAAAAGAAATTATGAGTAGAGAAATAACATATTCAAGGTTAGAAGAATATTACCAAAGTATCAACTCGACCAACCCGTACGGTTTGGGTTGGGTTAAGATTTTTCAAACCGCAAGCATTGTGTTGGGTTGTTAAAATGTCTTCAACCCGATCAACCCAACCCATGAGCACCCCTAGTCCAGCCTAGTTCTTGGTTCTCAATTCTACCTCTCTAAACATAAGCATATCCCTATGTTTAACAACATAAAACCCCAATAATTTTGTACTAATTAAAGATATTAATTTCATGTGACACATGTTTATTTAGGCATATATGATGAAATGATCATGTGGGGTTTCCCTTTTGAACCAAATTTTGAGCCAAGATTTTGACAATGAAATGCACATTTTTATGTATGTGTTTGTCTTCATTTTGAGTCCAAAGATACTCTCATTTGCAAATGGAGCCTCTCAATTATTCAAAGAAAATGATTGATGGGTAAAAAAGAGAAAACAACGTTTCCATTAAATAAAGAAACGTATAATCATGATAACGAACAGTTCCAAACCTATATCTGGTTTAAAATAAATGACAAAGCTGCTTCTGCAAAACATAAAAAGAGGTTTTCTACTGTTTTAATTTGTTAATATAAAAGTATATTCTGTTCTTTCCTTAATTATGAGTTCAAGAGTTTTCACGTGTAAGACAATACAGATAAGTGTGTTTTTTTTATTAACCTTGATATTGAACCCGTTATGCGAGCCGATTGATCTCAGGGCGATCACTTGCTTTATGGGTATCCCGGAGTCACCGCATTTGAACATCCGTGGCCACAAAGGGGATTCTTATTCCTCATTGGATTTGAACCTGGGACCTCCAGACACTTTTGACATTTGGAGCTCTAGCTCAAACCAGTCAAACACCACCCTTATGGTTACATACAAGTATTTTGTCGCGAACTCACGCCGTTTATAACAAACAACTGTTAACTTAGTTTACAATCATCATCGATGATTTTTTAATCAGTAAATAATCGACAACATGATTGCCAGTTTTGATAGTTAACGATCATGTGACTCTAAAACTCTTCGTTGAGGAGTGCACAATGCAATTTGGCTTTGGTTTTTAGGATGTGAAATCTATTATAATGACTTTAAGTATGTTATATTCTAATGCTTGGTTTTTAAATCTTTTATAATTTGATCAGAAATTGTAATAAAGTCTGTGTTTTTGTTTACAGTGGTCCAAGATTCGAGTACAACAAGTGACATTTTGTGGATGGAATATGATGGAAAGAAGGACGTATTTATATTGAATTGTAGCTGACACTGTTTTTATGTGGTTGTTTTTCAGCTTTTCGTTTTTTCGTGTGTTTTGTAATATAAGATCACCAAAATAGACCACCGCTTTGAAGTCAATAAGACGAAACACAAAAAGGGTGAAGAGAAAGCCAAGTAAATAATTAATAATTTATACGTTAAAATGTAACGAAATATGTTCTAATTTTTATTTAATGTTTTTCTTAATTTGTATAACAAACGTATACGTTTTTTTTTTCTATTTCGTGCTCGTTTTAGTCTACATGAAATTGGTCGACTTTGATGTAACATTTTTTCTATGTTATCGATGATTACAACTTGGTAAGCCATAAACTTTGGGTTTGTGGATGGAATCCCCTGAGAAGGGTTAAAATGACAGTTCCTGCTCCTTAGAAGGTACCAAATAAATGGCTACTTGAATCGGGATTTTGAGCACAAATATTCCACCGACCTGTAAAAAAGTGGGCCTAACCCCCCCTCCTCCTTCAAGTTTACCTACTACGATACCGAAATGAATATGATCTCCATCGGACATGCGTAACGCTTTAGCTAGTCCATACATCCTTTATCAGTGTGTGGACAGCTATCTCTCGAGCACAAGTTTAGGTTCGGCCTCAATGGGAAAATAAAATTGTACACGTGTAACCGATAAACGAGTATGGAATAAGAAAAAAAAATGAATCTTTGTTATACTAATACGAAAATAAAAATCCATTTGTGGTAAAAGGTCAAAAGTACTAGGAGGTCCCAGGTTCAAATCCAAAGAGGAATAAAAATCTTCTTGTGGCCATGGAGGTTCAAATGCAGTGACTTCGGGCTATCTGCCAAACAGGTGGTCACCCTGAGATTAGTTAGCTTGCATAGCGGGTTGTATATCTAGGTTAATAAAAAAAATCACTACATAAAATATGAAGTAAGGTAAATTACATTGTATTTTTGGCCATGATGTATATGAAACTTAAATTCGGATTCCGTCGTCAACCATTATGGGCGTTTGGTTTAACGGAATGATTTTGTGGTTTGATTTTGTAGGATTTGTGATAAATTGAATTCCATTTATAATAAATAATTTATAAAAACAAATTTTAAATAATTATAAGAATAGTTATTACTTTTTTTATTAATTGATTATTATAAAACAATCATTTTAAATATATTTTAGAACATTATTGCATACAAATCCTATGAAATCCCGTAAAATACCAACCACTTCCATGGGATTTAAAATCCTATGTTTGTAGGATTTAAAATCCCTGGCGTTGTCTAGGAGTGTTTATGGGTTGA